CCTGTTCACCTTTCTCAAGCCCTTTGATATTTGAGTACCAATCCTAAACTCTCTCCTTCTGCCACTAGTTATTGTTTCTCCTTGCCGTGATTTCCTTCGCAGCCATTCAATTTCTACTACTTCCTGCTATCTCTCGTCTACTACCTGGTAATTTCCAATTCTGTAACGTTATTTTCCCTTTACTTTTCTTTTTTGCTCTATTTTGTAGAATTGCGCAAACGAATATGTGAGGATTATTTTGGAAGAAGTGCCACTTATTGACAGGTGCCGAACCTGTGCAATAATAATTACTAAAAAGTCCTAATTACCACCACAAATAATTATAGAACAAATCCAAGTACTGGAGAAGGGACCCTAGGTGTGCAATGGGTTACTTGATTCACCCTGTTCCCGAAGAGTTTGCTTGATCAGATATACCAGATTAGTCTATAAGAATATTACTTTTGTGTACAATGGCAAGTAGGGTCGATTCCACAGGGAGCGGGTAGGAAATTATTTCTTTCCAAATTAGTAGAATGGAATTGGGGGATTTTCAATAGGAGGCAAACAAATAAAATAAAAATAAGAATAAAAGTAAAGCGAACTAAATTCAAAACCAACTCACAAAACACAATTCACTAAAAATAGCAATTAATAAGATTCCACCCAAAGGATCAACTGCTCAGGCACGGTCCAATTAAATGATCATCGATGCAAAGATATTTCACCCATTCATCACTAGGTTGGTTATAGTTATCAATAATCTCTGACAACCAATTCTTCCTTACCTTTTCGACAGTCAAGGTACGACCATTAACTGCTTCCCTAACCAGATAACAACCCTAGGTACGACCGTAGGAATTTAATTATCCAATTGCATTAAAACTAGAAGAACCCAACCCTAACCAATAAACACGCTAAGAGGGTTTATTTAAGCTAGATCTTGCGTTTTCCCATCATAAAATCAATTATGGTGGTTGCCACGAGGTGTTAACTAAATGAACAATTACGGATTCTATTTAATTAACGTGGCAGTAGACTATTAAATTAAATCAAATACCCGGCCGTTGATATTCAATTAATAAAATACCCATGAACAATTAATTCAGGAAACGCACGAATAGCAATAAATTGGAAGAAATAATGAAGATTCGATTAGATCTCACAGATATTATGGACCGCGCCCTCGCGTCAACCTTTGGGTAGAGGAGAAAATTAGCCGCTCCTCATCGTGTCAATCCCGCGTGATTTAATTGAAGTCATTCAATTATTCGCCGAAGAATTGGGGAATGGGAATTAATTGCAGTAACCTTCGTCTTCGTTTTGGAGCCACCAGTGTACGAAGCAAAAGGCTAACCGAAATTGTCCAGAGCAAGCGTAAAAATCAAAAGGAAAATAGCCGTCTAGCCTATTCTAATTGCTACCGAAGAGAAAAAAGAAAAAGGGAAAAAGCGTCTGACAGATCTGGGAAAAGAAAACTAAAGCTAAGGTATTGATGCCTCTGAATCTCCCTTTTTATTCTTTATATAGCCGCCGTCAGGAGCTTCTCAAACGTGACCCAATTGATTGAAAACAAAAGCAAAGCTAGCCTTTTGGAGTTTTTATCCCATGCTTCTCGCGGTTCACGTGGACCGGAGTCCGACTTTCGGTAATGTCTACCTTTTAAGGCGTGGCCACGCCCTGAAATGAAAAGTCTTCTGGAAATTCACCTCAAGATATCATTTTTAATGCTAACCACCTACAATTCACACAAATATCAAATATGAGTGAAATTCCCTTTCTTAGCACCATGAATAGCCAAAATTAGAACAAGATGACAATGCAAAATGTGCCAAATAACTGCTCTATCAAATCCCCCCACACCTAGACAATGCTTGCCCTCAAGCATTTCGGAGCTCAGAAGTGCAACCGAAAGAGCAAAGGTCATGCAATAAGCTATACTAACACAAGCACCTTTGATCCCTGACAGTGTCGCCAAAATGAGAGCACACCGGACAGGTTGTAATTCAAAGAAAATATATGAATACTAGGAACGCTCAAATCAACATCACAGAATGGCATTACCATAGGCTTGCACATATATTTATATCTCCACCACTCAAAAGTGAACTAAATACACAAATCAAAGGGACTTTCATAAGGTTGTAATGGGGTTTAGGTAAAAGGCGGGATAAGAAAGTAAAAATAGGGTGTAGTGTGTCAAGAGAATGTCCGATATCCACCACATAACCACAACGCTTCATCAGAGAAATTTCACGAGCAAGGCATTTTCATTTGCCATTTCCACTGTGCAAGTGTCGAAACTCTTCCCCTTTTCTCCTTTTTTTTTTTTTTTTTTTTGAACAAGCGGCTCGCAAGGCATGGCACGCCTTGTAGGCTAGGGTCTTCTGCTCACGATTTTTTTTTTAATGGAGCAGATGTCTTGCAAGGCGTGGGCACGCCTTGCAAGCTGGAGTCTTCTGCCTACCAGCTCACTGCCGACTTCTTCCTTTTTTGTTTTTTCTTTTTTAATCTCAGATGCACAGAGCACCATACAACTTCTATTCCGACAACACTTGCCACCTTAGATTCATTTGCCTTGCACAAACAATGAAATTCAGACATCTCTTGACGACACAAGGTTAAACAAGAAAGTCTAAAAAGGTCATGGGTTATCAAACACGACTAATCAAACAATAGCGAAGGATAAAAGCTCAAATAGATTCACTGCAGGGAGACAAGATGAAGGCATGGTTTGTAGAAAGTTAAAGAAGGTTAAATCCTAAATGCCCTTATCATTTCAAATGCATCCAGTTCAACAAAATATGGTCTTGACATGTATAAAATAGCAAGTTCTAGAATGCCGATACCATGTGTGATACCCACTCAATCAAACAAAAATAGAGCAAATAAGAATAATGTGCTCATGCATGGCTCAAAAGCTCCCAAAAGCTCCCAAAAGTGGGTCAAGTCCAGTATATCCAACATCCAACAATACTGTCAAGGCAAAATGAAATGCATAGCTAGTATATCTAACCACATGCCCATGCACCTTGATTGAGTTATTCATCATAGCAAAGAACTCAACTAACTACACTTCTTTTTTCTTCATTTTCCTCCTTTTTTTCATTTTTTTTTTGTGTTTCTCTTTTTTTTTTGTTTTAAAAGCAAAGCAAAAGGAGATAATAATGGAAGCCATCCCCCCACACCTAATACCTACATTGTCCTCAATGTAGAAAAGATGAATGAAGTATAAGGAGAAAATGAGAGAAACTTCTCTGACCACCGAGAGGGTGCAGTGAGACACTAAGGCGGAGGAGGGTGAGGTGGCTGGAATCCAATGTGAGCAAAGAAAGCTGTCTGATAAGAGAGATAGTGACGGTGGGGCGGGCAGCGACGTGCGATGAATGGCGCGAGGAGGAGAGAGAGAGAGTTTCTAGCGACGGTAGACAAAGGGGAAACCTTGGACTAAGACAAAATAAAGAAAATTGAAAAGTAGAAGCTGAGACAATGGAAATTGATAAGACCATACAAGACAAGAAAAGAGAAAAGTAGAAAGTGGGATTAGAGATGATCCTGGTCAATCTTTGACTGTCGTTGGCGCAAAGGCTGGAAGGCGTGGGCACGCCTTGGAAGCTATAGTCTTCTGATCGTCAATTCCAAAGTTTCATTCCTTAGGCATGACCAACTAGAGTGGGCATGTCTAACTGCCAGCTTCCTGCCACAAAATAATAACCCACTAAATGACACTAACACTTAACAAAAATTTCAAAAATATAAGGAAACTAAAACAAAAGAAGCCTTGGGTTGCCTCCCAAGCAGCGCCTTTTTTAAATGTCTTTGGCTAGACATAGCACCACTCTTTAGTCTGGATGTAATTGAATTTTCCTTGTAATTGGTGGCCCTCCTCCGGGATCGACATGGCCATTGAGTGCAACTTTTTTTCTAAATTTTCTCTCCATTTTTAACTCATGAATTGCTTTCATCCTATAGGACTTGTTCGCAGTAACCTTGAATTTACCCCTACAAGCAAATTTAGAGAATTCTTGCACAGAGGGATCAGTGGTATATATAGCAAACACAGAATGAGAGTTAACAGGATGTTTCATTATATCAAAAATATTAAAATGGACTATTTCTCCATCAAATTCCATCGTGAGAGTACCCTTACTAACATCAATTTTAGTCTGGGCAGTACTCAAAAATGGTCTTCCTAATATAATGGGTGATGGATTTGGGGCACTTCTATCATCCATGTAAAGCACATAAAAATCAGCAGGAAAAATTAATCCATCTACTTGCACTAAAACATCCTCAACTATCCCATCCGGATAAGCACATGTACGATGAGCCAATTGAATTATTATCCCCGTTTCTTTTAAAGGTCCTAAATTTAGGGAATCATAGATTGACTTAGGCATCACATTAATAGAAGCCCCTAAATCTATCATGGAATTTTTGATACTAGAATGACCAATCTTACAGGAGATAGCAAACATACCTGGATCTCCGCATTTGGGTGGGAGTTTCCTTTGAAGTACAGCTGATACATTCTCTCCTACCATCACTCTTTCATCACCCCTTAACTTTCTTTTGTTAACGCACAAGTCTTTCAAGAACTTTGTGTACTTGGGTACCTGCTTGATCGCGTCCAATAGGGGGATGTTTACTTGAATTTTGCGGAAGACATCCAGGATTTCTTTTTCCTTTTCTGCCTTCTTTGTCTTTTCCAACCTGCAAGGAAAAGGAGCTAGATTAGATTTAATAGGGATCGAAGGAATAGATGTTACCTTAGGCTCTTCGCGAATGCGCCCTTCCTCTTCAATTCCCTTTTCTATGTGCTCCTCACTTTTGCTTTTCGAAATCGTCAACTTAGATCCCTCCACCTCCTTGCCACTCCTTAATGTCATGGCACTTACATTTCTGGGGTTTACCTCAGGTTGCGATGGCAATTTCCCATAGACGTGGGATTCCAGGCGATTAATGGCAGTTGCCATTTGACTCATGCGAGTCTCCATATCTTTCATGCCTGCTTTGGTGTCCTATTGAAACTGAGTAGTGCTCGCGACCAAGGACCTAGTCTCTTGCTGGAGTTGAGCAGTGGTCGTGACTAGGGTTCTAGTCTCCTGCTGGAGCTGAGTGGTAGTCGTGGCCAAACTCTTGACAATTTCCTCCAAAGAACTTCCTGAATTGGAGAACGAGGGTTGGGACTTCTGTTGCCAAGGTTGCTGAAATCCTGGTGGACGATTGGGGAATGCATTTTGTGGCCTATTACCATAGCTGAAATTGGGGTGATCTCTCCAACCAGGGTTGTACGTGTTGGAGTATGGGTCGTACGGTCTTTGAGGCGCGGGCACGCCTCCAGCCATGTTCACTTGTTCAGCCCCATCCTCTTGCAACATAGGGCATGAGTCAGTGGGGTGGCCCACATTTGTGCAAATTCCACAAGCCTTTACTTGGGGCACATTCCCCACAACTAATTGTCGAACGACGGATGTGAGCTCCGACAACTGTTGCTGAATAGATGTTGACTCCACCTCATTAACCCTGTGGGTAGGGTTACTCTCACGGAAGCCAAACTGTTGAGAATTCTCCGCCATAGCTTCAATAAGCTCCCATGCTTCCCTTGGTGTCTTGTTCGCTAACGCTCCCCCGCTTGCAGCATCAATGATACTTCTGTCGGATGATTGGAGTCCCTCATAGAAATATTGGATCAATAATTGCTCACTAATTTGATGCTGCGGGCATCTAGTGCACAACTTATTGAACCTCTCCCAATAGTCATACAGGGATTCTCCAGGGTATTGCTTAATGCTGCAAATCTCATTTCTCAGGCTAGCAGCCCGAGATGCAGGGAAGAATTTTTCCAAAAACTTCTTTTTCAACTGTGCCCATGTGGTAATACTACCTGCTGGTAGGTAGTACAACCAATCCTTTGCTGCATCCTTAAGGGAGAAAGGAAATGCTCTCAGTCTAATTTGCTCTTCAGTGACGCCGGGAGGTTTCATACTAGAGCAAACCACCTCGAACTCCTTAACGTGTTTGTGGGGTTCTTCGCCAGAGAGACCATGGAAAGAAGGTAAGAGGTGAATCAGCCCCGACTTCAGTTCGAAAGCAGTATTCTCAGCCAGAGTGGGGAATGTGATGCATAAGGGCTGGTGAGTCAGCTCCGGGGCAGCCAGCTCCCTTAATGTTTGGGTGTTGGCCATGCTTACTTCGTCTTCTACCGACTCGTTTGCAATAAATAAGTGCCCTTCTTTTCGCCTCTTGGTCTCTTGCTTCCGCCTACGCGCTGCCTTCTCAACCTCATGATCGTATACTAATTCACCTGTGCGAGAAGAACGGGGCATAAACTAGCAAAAATATCAAGAAGAATAGAATAAAATAAAAATAAAATAAAAACTGAATTTGAAAAGAAACAAATAATCCAAACGCCAACTCCCCGGCAACGGCGCCAAAAATTGACAGGTGCCGAACATGTGCAATAATAATTACTAAAAAGTCCTAATTACCACCACAAATAATTATAGAACAAATCCAAATACTGGAGCAGGGACCCTAGGTGTGCAATGGGTTACTTGATTCACCCTGTTCACGAAGAGTTTGCTTGATCCGATATACCAGATTAGTCTATAAGAATATTACTTTTGTGTACAATGGCAAGTAGGGTCGATTCCACAGGGAGCGGGTAGGAAATTATTTCTTTCCAAATTAGTAGAATGGAATTGGGGGATTTTCAATAGGAGGCAAACAAATAAAATAAAAATAAAGCGAACTAAATTCAAAACCAACTCACAAAGCACAATTCACTAAAAATAGCAATTAATAAGATTCCACCCAAAGGATCAACTGCTCAGGCACGGTCCAATTAAATGATCATCGATGCAAAGATATTTCACCCATTCATCACTAGGTTGGTTATAGTTATCAATAAGCTCTGACAACCAATTCTTCCTTACCTTTTCGACAGTCAAGGTACGACCATTGACTGCTTCCCTAACCAGATAACAACCCTAGGTACGACCGTAGGAATTTAATTACCCAATTGCATTAAAGCTAGAAGAACCCAACCCTAACCAATAAACACGCTAAGAGGGTTTATTTAAGCTAGATCTTGCGTTTCCCCATCATAAAACCAATTATGATGGTTGCCACGAGGTGTTAACTAAATGAACAATTACGGATTCTATTTAATTAACGTGGCAGTAGACTATTAAATTAAATCAAATACCCGGCCGTTGATATTCAATTAATAAAATACCCATGAACAATTAATTCAGGAAACGCACGAATAGCAATAAATTGGAAGAAATAATGAAGATTCGATTAGATCTCACAGATATTATGGACCGCGCCCTCGCGTCAACCTTTGGGTAGAGGAGAAAATTAGCCGCTCCTCATCGTATCAATCCCGCGTGATTTAATTGAAGTCATTCAATTATTCGCCGAAGAATTGGGGAATGGGAATTAATTGCAGTAACAACAGAGAAGGCCCTGCCTTCGTCTTCGTTTTGGAGCCACCAGTGTACGAAGCAAAAGGCTAACCGAAATTGTCCAGAGCAAGCGTAAAAATCAAAAGGAAAATAGCCGTCTGGCCTATTCTAATTGCTACCGAAGAGAAAAAAGAAAAAGGGAAAAAACGTCTGACAGATCTGGGAAAAGAAAACTAAAGCTAAGGTATTGATGCCTTTGAATCTCCCTTTTTATTCTTTATATAGCCGCCGTCAGGAGCTTCTCAAACGTGACCCAATTGATTGAAAACAAAAGCAAAGCTAGCCTTTTGGAGTTTTTATCCCATGCTTCTCACGGTTCACGTGGACCGGAGTCCGGCTTTCGGTAATGTCTACCTTTTAAGGCGTGACCACGCCCTGAAATGAGAAGTCTTCTGGAAATTCATCTCAAGATATCATTTTTAATGCTAACCACCTACAATTCACACAAATATCAAATATGAGTGAAATTCCCTTTCTTAGCACCATGAATAGTCAAAATTAGAACAAGATGACAATGTAAAATGTGCCAAATAACTGCTCTATCACTTATCGTTTCGTTTTGACTATTCAGTTGCACGGGAATAGACCGACGCTTCATGACACGGTCCATCAAGTCTTTTTCTTTTTATTTTTCCCATTTTTCCTCAGCACGACGTCGTTCTAGTCCCCACCGAAGCCTGTCTGACGTGGCTTATTGTGGTCCATTCATTTGGACCTTATGAGGAGACCGTTCGGGAGCGGGACCGCTCCTGCCCGGTTCAAACACAGGATCATCCATTTTCGTATTCGGTGACAGAGGAAAACAAAAAAAAAAAAGAAAAAAAAAAGACAGAGGAAAACATGTGCACATGATGCACGCTAACAAGGTTGAATGCTAGAAGCCATCTGTAATAGCAATAGCACACCTTACAACTTTCTTGGTACTCTGCAGACAGGGCACAAGGAACATAAAATCCGGAAAAGTTAACCAAGGGGAATCTTCAACTGCTCCTGATGGGGAAATCATTTCTGCTCTCACCCACTTTGACACCCGCCAAATTTTGTCAAAAACATACATCAATTCTACCCCGTAATTATCCTAAAGTTTCATACTTTAGGAGTTCCAATGCAAATTTGGACTCCTTCAGGGGTTGCAGAGATGGGTTTTGTAGCATACCATCTTTTAAAGCAATGCCCACAAGAAGATTATGCAGCAAGGCCTCTGTATTTTCTGAAGTTTCAAATCAAAAGCAGTTCTTTAAAGTTGGTGCTGAGTCAACTGGGCCAATTCCTTCCAAACAGCTTCTCCAAGTTGTTCAAACTGCTGCTGAGACTGGTGCTAAGGTTTGATTCCATATAACTCTTGATTTTTTATGACTTGTCAATTGTGTAGAAAAACCAGTCTCAAGGTGAATATAGGATCAGTGCTTTATTGTCGTTTCTTTCTTGGAGAAATTAGTTGTTTGGCAGCAGTTAATTAAGTTTGTTGGATGTGAGATTTCAATTGATGGCTCTATCTGTATCTGCCGATTTTGCCCACTATCCGTTAAGTTGTTAATGATGTAGAATTTTACCTGTACAGCATTTCCAAGGCTAGCTGTGGATTCAGTAGCTTTTTCTGTTCTTTAAGGAAATTAGTAGCCTTATTACCATCTAAACTGGAATTGTTTAATTGAAAGTGATATCGAGTTCCTTTACGTTGCCACTAAGGAATGAGGGGATGATATCCATTCCCAAAGTCAATTATTAGGTGTTACAAAAAGTGATGGATGGAATGGCCAAGAAAACCATCTCGTGTTTTCTGGCAACTGTACTGTTATAAATTGTTGATCGTAAGTCCTTGCAACTTTTAAATGCACCAAGGCCTTTATAACAATGCCAAATAGAAGAAAATTTTGACTGCAAAAGTTAACCCTATGAGGCCTTTCATGCTTTTATAGAAGAATTCTCTTAGAAGGTTTCCCAATAATTTTTGCCAAGGTATTTTCTTGATCAAGGTATGGTTAAATAAAATTGCTTAGACCTGGATTTTAATGTCTTTCTATTGGAGTGAATTAAGAGTATTTGGTAAGTGTAGCAGACAGGACTGGAAAAATAAAAAGATGATCAGGACTCTTAAGAGTTGATGGGATACTGCTTTGTAAAGATGTAACGTTAAGACATACTTACCTGTGGGCGAAAAAGAAACAATCTGTATTTCATGAAATAGCATTGATTGGTTCTGGTAATAATCTTGTTCACATTGTTGCTAATATAGGCTTATTCGTGCAGTATGATAGTTGGAATAGATACGTAAGCCTGAAACATTGTTATAATTAAGTTACTTTAATGATCTTATATCCATATTTGTCAAGTTAGTAATGATCCAACAGAATATATTATTTTCCTTTTTTGTTTCATGCCATTTTTGCGTTTTAATCTCTTTGAGCGACTGAATCATTTGCATTCAAGAATGCTTTGTTGGTTCTATTTGTGAGATGCAGGCTAATATTTGTAAATCCTGGATGTAGGCCAGAGATGGGGAAAATTCCACCAATCTTGAAAATTTTTTTTTTTTGGCATCAAGACAAGTTTTTTTATACATTGTGGTTTTAATGTTCTTTCAATGGATGACCATGAATAGAATTAATCTGCTATTTTTTTTTTCCCAAAATGCAGTTGCATGGCATGTTTTACGTTGAAATCCTTTTGCCTCTAGATGACTTTACCATTGCTTACAGATGAATCAGTGAAAAAATGCTTCTGATCTTCATTTTCATAATTTTATTTTCTTCCGCTTTGTCAACATCAGTCTATAATCCCTGTCATTATCCTTCATTCTGAGCACATAGGTTCCTCTTTCCATTGTTTTTAATTGCTTTAAATCACTACTATTTTCTGATTTCTGAAGAAAAGCAAGATCATTTCTGGATATCTAATTAAGCTTTCTTAATTCATTTCAGGTTGTAATGGATACTGTGAACAAGCCTCGAACTATTGCCTACAAAATAGGACTCAGCGATCTGGTGACTGAGTAAGAATTATAGAGTACCTATGCTTTTGTGCTTTAGACCTCTGTTAATAAAAAATTATGCATATTTAAGCAATTCTTTTGATTGTTTAGTTACTATTTGAAATTGATTGTGTTATGATTGGTTGCTTGTTTTGAGAGTTGCTAAAACTGATGTATATGTTAGGTAGTAAGCATATTTTACATTAGGATCACAATGCAGTTATTTATATCCAAATTCCATGTCAAGCTTACCCTAGTGGGGTGATTCTTGATGCATGTATTACGCATATCCCTTTTGTGTTTAAACTATATCATAACTGGAGGGCACAGGTGCAGCTGTATGATATCTTAACGTCCTTTTTTTTTTCTGGGAGAAATGCCGTTTATCATGCAATCATAAAATTTCTATCTTTGTAGTGTGTGTTGTACCCATGCGTTAACCTCTATCATGATGAACCTATCAATACTCCCTGTAGAGATATGCCGTTGGATTGAACTAACTTATTTGTGATTTTCTGGCTGCTTTCGTTTATTTATAGCTATTGTTATTGGCACCTTGACTTCCTATCTGCACTTTGTGCCCAACCATGAAAAGAATACATAAACATTCTTCTTACCTTGTTCGCACTATGATTTCCATCCATTCTGTTCACCTAGTTATGGCTATTGTTTTCAACATAGACCAAAATGAACTCAAAAAAGTGTAATACAGCATTTCCAGTCCAAGACTACTGAAACTCTATCACTGGGGTCTTCCTAATCCACCAAATCAAAATTTTTTTATGTATATACATAAAATGTTAAACATTCTACAGGTGAAATATGTGATCTATTCTAATTTAACATTTTCTTTTTTGATGTCTTTCGCCTCTTTGATTAAGAAAAT